AAAACAGTAATATTTAGTAGTATGTGAACACAGATAAACAGCAGGGGGAGCTATTTCTCCAGCCACTACCGGTTACCCTCGATGGAAGAAGACATGATGTCAGTAAATGTGTTCCAGTCAAAGCTTAGATGGTGAAAAAACAACATGATAGAAATATTTCTTCGTTTCATGTGTTGTTGTGAAGAAAGTGACATTTACAGATAGTCTGATCTCCTCAGTAGATGTTGAAGTCACACGATTCACGCATGTCATCATTTATTCATTGGTTTCATCAACACCTTTTCCACCTCAAACGAGCTGTTTCCATGTTTCCACCGTCACCCACGTCAGAAGATCACGGTATTATTAATTAAAAACACTAAAAAAGGATGTCCTTCAAAAACTGAGGAACTTGAACTAAATCTAAATGAATCCAGGACTGAAAGGTGGCTTGGTGGTTGGCACCGTTGCCTCGCAGCAAGACGGTTACCGGTTCGTATCCCAGTGAGGACACCCGGGATCTTTCTGTGTAGAGTTTGCATGTTCTCCCCGTGCAGCGTGGGTTCTCTCCGGGTTCTCTGGCTTCGTCACACAGTCCAAAAACATCCATCCATCCATTATCTATCCATCCATCCATTTTCTATACACCGCTTAATCCTCACTAGGGTCGCAGTGGGGCTGGAGTCTATCTCAGCCGACTTAGGGTGAAGGCAGAGGACACTCTGGACAGGTCACCAGTCTATCACAGGGCTACACTTAGAGACAGACAACCAAGCACACTCACATTCACACCTACGGACAATTTTAGAATCACCAATTAACCTCAACATGTTATTGGACTGTGGGAGGAGTCAGATGGGATAGTCTACAGCCCCCCTAACCCAAGTGAGGATTAAGGGGTGTATAGATAATGGATGGATGAACGAATCAAACAGGTGCTTTGCCTTTGCATTATCATCTCACAGCTCAACACCTCTAATCCGCTGTGAAACATCAAACAGCTGTCCAGGAGCTACTCTGAACCAACATAGTGACACTGTGACATCTGGAAATGTAAAGAGGCTCCACCCACGTTTAGAAGCCTTAATGAGAAGCCTCGTTAGGGGTGGGAGGGCGTTCTTAATTACAATGACACGTTATTTTTTTTCTTACAGTGTTGATTTCATGGGTGATGCAACAGATAATAAGCTTCAGTGGGCGTTTGAAGTCAATGCCGTGAAATGAAGTGCATGCCTCATCTCCTGATGGGATAAACTGTGTTTCAGGTGGGAGACAGAGACGACTCCAACCTGTACATCAGCACCAAACTGAAGGCTGCAGCCGAGGTGAGACACAAAGAAAACGATTAATGTACGTTAATCAGGTTCAAGAGAGCTCAGCTTACAAAGTTTGGTTATACAAGTCAACAAACCATTAGCAAAGTGTGTGTTTAATTCCTCTGATCAAAACACCATGAAACACTGAGATGTTCCTTTTCTCATCACAAATGTAGTTTATTTAGACTCAGTCCCGCACACGTTGTCCTGCTGCCTAAATGTTGTGTGACGTCTCCTCAACACGCACTTTACTGCAATGAGCAAAACTCCGCGATTCCCCGAGAAAGTGGGAGGAGACAAAAGCAATCGATCACAAACTAACCGATTGAGGTGCATGTGTCGAGCACAGATCTTATGATCATGGCACAACTAAAACAACAGAACTACTTAAAACATTTTACCCTTTTCAAACACAATTGTTTATCAATGTCAACTTTTTAACACACTTTTTAACCACCCTGAAACTTTTAATTTGATACATTTTTAACCCTTTTTCTTGTTCCATTTTTAACTTTGTCAGGAATTATGTATTGTGTATTTACCACATTTCAACTCTTAACAGATCACAGTAATATTTCCATTTCACCTGTCATGTGCACAGTGTTCTGAAAAACATAGGTGTTTATTACAGAGCTCTTCTAATGCAACTTCTAACCTATCACACAAACACACACCCACCACAGTTTAAACTTCAATAAAAATAAAACCCCACAGAAAATACATAGATTATAATGAAACTGATTAAATGCTCATTAGAATTGAATTGCGCACAAGCTAAAGAAAGAATTCAGAAACAGGACACCATAATAACACACAAACAAGGTTTATATGTGAACAGACGAGGTTTTCACACATCTGATATATTTTTTGATTTTTTTAATATATTTTTTGTCTGCAGATTGGAATCGATGCCAAACATGTGCGGCTGCCGAACACAGCAACACAGGACGAGGTTGGAGATAAACTCTTGTCATCAGCTCTCTCTCTCTCTGACATCCAGCTATGAATACAGTCTGACCGCCTGCTGTTCGCTGTCGCTTTGCAGGTCCTGCAGAGCATCATGTCTGTCAACGAGAACCAGTCCGTCCACGGTCTGATCGTCCAGCTCCCTCTGGACTCTGTCAGCCGCATCGACACTGAGCTCGTCACCAACGCCGTCAGTCCAGAGAAAGACGTGGATGGGTACGTGTCCTGCAGCTCTTCTCATGTCCTGGATGCTTTTGTTTTCTGGTTTCATGTTTGTATTTTTCCTGAGATACTGACTAATGTTAGTGGTTATAGAGGTTACTATAGTTTTGTCCACTCCAGTTTTTCCTTCATGCCTTCCCAGCTTCATATTTACCTTTGTGTGTGCGTGTGTGTGTGTGTGTGTGTGTGTGTGCGTGCGCCTGTGTGCAGTCTGAGTTGTATCAATGCAGGGAAGTTGTCTCGAGGTGATCTGAACGACTGTTTCATCCCTTGCACCCCCAACGGCTGCATGGAGCTCATCAGACAGACAGGTCAGACACTGTAAACTCTGAAAAGTCTAAGTTTAGTCCAAACACACACACCCATCGAATATGGATGACAAGTTTCCTTGCGATAAGTTATGTTTACTTACAACTA